CAAATTTAATAAGATTTTAGGTTATTATTATCTGCGATAAAAGCAATGTCATCCCAACGTGACAAGCATTGTCACCGAAAAAAATGACGAAATGGCGGACCCATAGTTAAAATATGGATGTAACCGGAACTGTCTAGATAACTGTATTAGGCACTAAGCTATTTTGGACTATTCTTACAAAAGCGAACGTATACACACCCTATTCCGGCAGAGGTCAGGCCAATCGTTAGTTGGCGAACGAAACTATTTTCCTTTTTTTTTTAGGTCAACTTGAGATTTTCTCCTGTTTTCCGAAGCTTTGCGTCACAAGAGTGGTAACGAGAATAGTGGGACGAATCATTACCGATATCCATTTAAGTTTTTAACTAGACTGAAATCCTTCAGAAGCGTCACCAGCTTATATGGTGCGATTTCAAGAGCCCTTGGACCACCACACGTGAGTTCCACCACTGATCTTGTGTTAAGAGGTATTTTTTATTTATTTTTTAATTGCCCTTGTAGTTAGACAAGCGTACGGCCCACCTGATGGTGAGTGGTTACCCAAGCCGCTGCCACCCGAGCCAAGCCGTTGCCTAGCAGCCAAGCCACTGCCTAAATCTTGAATTGCTTGAAAAAGTCACTTTAATATTATATTTCTCCTATAATATTATATTATTATTATATTATTTTGACATGATTCCGTAATATTTTTATGATTCACCTTCGTATAAGACTTCACATCTTTAGTACTCGGCTCTCCAATGACCTTTGTTACGCTTTCTTCAACCGAAGCTCAAACAGAGTCCTCAACCGCAAGCCACGATATAACTATGTCCCTGTCATTGTCAATAATTATGAGCAGCAACCACCCTCCATTAGACGTGCCGTACGCTCGAAGACAATAGAACGCATCATTATAAATGCCGAACCCAATCGCCAACATCCGTTAAGAGTTGAATACGTGGAAATTTGAATTAAGTGGTAGCGCTGCTTGGTCCCGGAGTGAGAAATTGTCCGGGGCTTTTATTGGCCCGGGGAGATTCAATCATTCGCCGGGCCGAATTTTAAATTTGATAATCCAATTAAAACAATGAATTGAGCCTTAATTGGGCTGAATTTATTTAACGAATGGAAGAATGGTGTTGGATAGTGATCTTACTCACAAATGGTCTTTAATAGCGTATTATACTTAAAATTGGTATGAATAACTGATTTCTTTTTATATTCTACATTAAAATATATCATATTTTACTGTATATTGTAGCAGTAGCCATCAGAGAACACAAGATATTCAAGATCATCATCAAATTCCGAACAACATTTGGACTGTTAGTTTACCGAGCAATATCACCCGCTGGTGGAAGATCTTCCATTTGTCGTTAACCACCAGAACCCAATCCTTTTTTTTTTAATATACGACATTTTTTTATATTTTTATCGCACGAATGGTTAGTCGCTAAATGCCAGGTGAGCCGTGAGCTCGTCTGCTTATCTGCTCGGCTGCTATCTTAGAGAGAGAGAGTATGCTTTATTGTACACAAAATCGAATATGAAAAAGTACAATTGGCGGTCTTATCGCTAAGAGTGATCTCTTCCAGATAACTACCAAATAGACAAGAATCATTAGGAAACAAATTACACGCGACGTACCTATCGAATGAAATATATACAGACACACACACACATACGCACATATATATATATCTTGGGTGATAGTAAAAAAAAAACCACACTATTTTGACTACATTCAACAGCATTGACTCAACTCGCACGAGCACGAGAAACGAAAAGCGAAAGTTTGAAACGGATCCCGTATTTGCATTCTCGTAACGTAGAAAAAATAAAACGGTATGTTAGTTGTGCGATGGTCCCAACTATCGATTCTCGGATTACATCGAGTACGTCTTGATTCGAGTTAATTAACGAAAGTGTTTTGCTTTTTAATGAGAGAAATTCGATTTTTTTTATTGCTTAGATGGGTGTTAAGTGGTTACTGGAGCCCATAGACATCTACAACGTAAATGCGCCACCCACCTTGAGACATAAGTTCTAAGGTCTCAGGTATAGTTACAACGGCTGCCTCACCCTTCAAACCGAAACGCATTACTGCTTCACGGCAGTTGAGCTGGTGAGCTTACCTCATGGTAAGACACATAAAAAATGATACATACATTTATAGGATTTAGCTTTAGATTTTTTAAGATTTATTTTTAGAGAGACAGAGTGAAATAGAATACTTATTAAAGCTCTCGTACGGGAACTGCAGAAATGCTTTTGTCATTGCTCCAAATAAAAGCTTACGAGCTTACGGCCCACCTGAAATGAAATTTTTGAAGATGCTCACAGATATCACAACGTCAATGCCGCAAACTGTTAGACAAGTCCCTATCTTAATAGTAATATAATAAGACCTATTATTCCTCTTTCAATAAATATAATAATGGAGAGTATTACGTATGCCTTGTTCAATCAATTTGTCGAGGAATATTGAAGTCACGTGTTTGAAAGTAAAATGTATTGAGCTCTAATTTGGTATCTGATTTTAGGTATTCAACCTTGACCTTTGACATCGATTCATTTACTGGTTGGCAGGGCGTCTTGTGAGCTTCACGGGTATTTACCACCGCCGTTCCTATTTCTGCCGTGAAGCAGTAATGCGTTTCGGTTTGTAGGGCGGGGCAGCCGTTGTACTATTAAAAGTGAGACCTTAGAAATCTTGGCTCAAGGTGGGTGGCGGCATTTACGTTGTAGATGTCTATGGGCTCCGGTAATACTGAACACTAAGCAGGAAGTCAGCTCATCTATCCGTTTAACCAATACAAAAACTATTTGGAAGTAAAATGTAATGATATGATATGACGGCGCTAGGGTTGACTGAGCGGTAGTTCCGTCATCATTCGCATTCGGTGGAACTGAGTTCATTGCAATAAAAGTCAATAAAACTTTTTGAATAATAATTATTGAAACTCTCAATAAATAACTTCGATAATAACAGGGTAAACCAACAGTTTCGTTCTGACAGACCCGACCTATGATAGTAGCCAAGAGGGTTATGTTAGCTTAGCCGGGTGAGTACGTGATCTTACGGGGCTCTAACCTGATGAATTTGCAAACACTAGCCAGAGCAGTGCTTCGCAAAATCTACCGCCGGATCGGAAACGCGACCCACTGAGAAATTTCGACGAGAAACTTAGTGTACGAAGCGCCTTTTTAACTGACGTCACGGCGTCTACCCTACTTTTGTTTATTCATCAACACATTTTATCATTTAAATAGCAATCAAAACAATGTCTAACACTAGCCCTAGCATGTGCAGCGCTTCGCTAAATCTACAACCGGATCGGAATCGCGACCCACTGAGAAGATCCGGCGAGAAACATTTTAGAAATCACGAATTGAATGCAGAATAGATAAATCAACACGAGATTTGCACGAATTCCAAGAAATATTTTATAGTCTGATTATTAAGAGTCTTTAATGACAAACATAAAATTATTGATATCATTAATATTGTTAACTTCGATCAATAATACTATTATTGATCGAAGATTGTTAATGACCTATGTTCTTAATCAAAAGCCGTTATATAAAGGGAGTATTCGGAATGGCTTCTTTCATAAATGAATTCATTTCTAAGCTACATAATTACGTAATTATGTCTTGGTAATAATAGATTTGCGTTTAATTTTTAATTAATTCGAAAAGTGACAAAAGTGAATTAGTATATACCGAATTTTCTAATATTTCATAATAATACTGGCGGCACATGCAACTTTCCAAACCCTCAAATGTATTTAGAATTCTACAATAATATGCATTCAAATTCGAAATTCAAAGAGTAACGTCAAATTCTATCCATTTAAACCTTTTTCTTGAAATACTTAAATTTTTTTTATTATTCGAATCATTCGAATCATTTGAATTCCAATAGTACATACTTACTACCTGTCCACTCCCACCGATATTCTACAATCGCAATGTCAACATTCATTACGCAACGTAGCTATAGCACTGCGTTTCTAAACAGGTTTCCGTTGCATCCCGTGAACTCTAACGCTACAGAAATAGAGGTCATTTTTACTTGAATTACGAATGTAGGCTATGCCTCTAATGAAGTTACGACATTGTATGGGATTATGGTTAGCGTAGGCCCGTCTCGATTTTTTCTCTGCGAATTGTGTTCATTTTTATTGTGTGAATTTTATCCGGCAAGGAAGTTAAGATAGAAAATTGGCTGTTTAATTTTCTCAATTAAATAAATTCTGTTTTTGTATAACTTATTACTGTACCTACCTACTTATTTTGAAATTAGGATTTTTTTTTATTGCATTTGTATGCAGACGAGCTTACGGCCCACCTGATGGTAAGTGGTTACCGTCGCCCATGGACTTCAGCAATGCCAGGAGCAGAGCCAAGCCGCTGCCTACTGCAATTATGTTAGGAATTCAATTTTTGCTATATAGTAAATTGCTTAATTGTAACAAAAAAATGCTGATACTTTTTTTAGGCTTATTTCAAGTAAGGCTAAACTAAACTAAAGCTAAATTAAGAGTAAGTAACTAAAATGTTTCGTTTAATATTAAAAATAATCTTATTCGAATTAATTTCAATTAAAAGTCATTTTACTAATTACAAATTACTAAATTACAGGACCACGAAAACTGTAAAGTATCTGTCTGCAACTGCAAAATTAACTGTCCGAAACTGTATAATACACGATTTTATAAACGCGACATCAAACTGAAAAATAAAATAGTTTAATATGATTAAACTTCAGGCAATTCAGGCTTAATCGAAATTCTTTAAATCGCAAATTACACCTATAACAAAAATGATTAAAGTTGATAATGCCAGATTACATAATAATTTATTCGTAACCATAAAATTAGTTTAGTACAAAACAAAAAAAAAAAAACAAAAAATATTACAATTTATAAACGAGACAAATATTTTCGAAGCGATTATTAAAAAAATAGCGCTCTCCAAATTCAAATTTAAAAAAGTAAAATAATGCATCTCACCTTTATGTTCTATGTTGGGGAAAACAAAACCTCAGCACGGTTCAAAACTAATCATTATCGAGCGGGAGTGCATTCGCTGGACGCCCGTGAACTTGACGCCTCTCCCCGGGAGCATCCAACACAATAGCCAGAGATATTCAAAATTCGAAAAACAAAAAAATCGCTGACAAAAAATTAAAAAAAAAAACACCGTAAACTAACACTTTTATTATGTCAATTTTTGATTTTCGAACGCTTTGTTTTTTTTTTTTGTTAAATTTAATTTTCACACACTATTTCGCAGAGACGCCGTCAGCACGGCGGGAAGGGGCGCACTACGAAAATGTCAGAGCGATCGGCACATGTGCGGACGATGGTACGGGCGAGTTCAGACTGGAGCCATTTCCCGCGTGACTAATTCACCTAACGCAATAATAATTGTTAACGTAATTTGTCAAAACCTGATATTATTATATTGTAAATAAATATGTTTATTAACTCATACAATATAGGTAATCATTTAGTTCAAACAAAAACAAAACAAAAAAATGTTGTCATTTTGTTTGATTCATTAGTATGACTCGTGGGTAAGCTGTGACGCTATAACACGAAGATAATAATTATAGTAAAAATTATGATCACAATAATATTTGAGCTGAATTAAATGCTTACATTTTTGAGTGATCAAAATTAACTCTTCATTTATAGTTTGATGTCGCGTTTATTCTTTTCATTTTACAATTTCCAGTGCCGTATAAACTTCAATTATTAGTATTATTACAGACGACGATGCCATTATTTTTCGATATTACAAAATTGAATGCGGTTTTACTAACTCAATTTGAATGACTTTGTGTATCTTCTTTGAGTACTTATTATTTTCTTTGACCTAACTATGGATTTTCTCGACCGCCATTACATTATTGAATATGTTTATTACATTTTAACATATTATAAACTTTTGTACAAGATTATTATTGACTCGCGAAAAGCGAAGTCAACACTTCAAAATTTACAATAAAAAATTATTAATTTTTTTTCCTTTTTTGCATATATGTATTTTTGCAATTCACTCTAAAAAATTCACTCGTATTTGATTATTCATCCATGATACTCGAATAAAATAGGTCTATCCTATATTCGCAATAAACTCACGTACCTATACAAAACAATGCACATGCAATAATAATCATACAATATCGCAATAAATAATACAATAGCTCCGCAGTATTTTCGTATCAGCATTTTTAAATTGAATCTCATATATGGCCTCGTTTTTCTTTATAAATTTAAATAAGATTATATCTAAGAGCACGTTAAGCGGCTAATAATGTATTTCCGTGATTTCGATCACAGTATTAGTAGTGCAATCTTGTTTGAAGACAATCAATTAGTAATCGACTCGGTCCAAACATACAATCTTCGCGTTTTACCGCAGAATAATTATTTTAAGGTTTAAATAAGCGTGGATTCAAGAATACTACTATAATCATATTGATATTTTACTAAATGTACACTGTAGTTCTATTCAAGGTCAGTCATGATAAGTAGAATGTACAGAGAATGGTAGTAGATTAAATTGAAGCATAGTGAAGTTACGGCTGTCTATTTATGTGACAATGCCTTATTTTCTGGTTTAAAATTTTAATATTTTTTTTTATTCTTCTACACGTTCCAGTAACCTCTGAAATGAACGATGTTCTACCGTGTTTCCTGATCACTTTGATATATCCTCCTGTAAGTGAGATTCGAAACGAGTCTTCAGTGTTTGACAAAAAGTTGACTATGTTCCTTATATTGGGATCGGACAAGCTCGAAGGTAAAATAAAGATTACAATAGTTGACGATCTGTCAAAATGATGATCAAGATGCCGTCTCGACTTTGGATACATTTGAAGTACAATTGCATTATTGTACTGTTACATTTAGATTAAATACTGTTGCATGAAGTTAACAAAAAATTTAACAAAAAAACAAAATTACTACAACTGAATGAGCGGTAGATTCTACAAAGCACTGCGTTTGCCAGGTTAGTTCTCTAAATTCTCTCAGTTGAACTGAAACTGGAATAGCCCCTTAAGCTACCAGCGAATGGTAGAAGAAGAAAAAACAGTTTTCTTGAAATTGAATTCCATTCAAAGACGACGCTTTACTTTGTACTGTACACACTGTTACTGTACAGAAGATCCGGCAAGAAACTCAGAGGGTTAAAAAAGCTGTTTTACTGCATATTAAATCTTGATTGATTCGCGAGGAGATTGAACCATGAATTGCAATATAACTGATGTCATCACCTACTTGAAGGCCACTGAGTTTCTCGCAGGATCTTTTCTGTGAGTCGCGTTTCCGATCCGGTAGTAGATTTTGCGAACTGCTCTTGCTAGGGCCAGTGTTAGCAACACTTCCGGTTTGAGCTCCGTGAGCTCACCTACACGTTATGGAGAAACTGAAATAGCCTCTCAAGGCTCTCAAAATAGGTAGGAGAAAAAAAAAACTACTCATATTCTTTTATTTGAATTACACACTACATTTTAAAAGTTTTTATCAATGAAAAAAATCCTGTAGTTTTTGTGTGATTATACAATCGGTATCATCTAAAGTTATGACTACATAATTATCAATAATGAATACTGGCTTGTAAAACAACATACAAAAAAACGGAAAAAAGTCGCTATTTCCAAACAGCAAGATAGCTAAAGGCACAGTGAACGAGCCTTTATATGCGAGAGCGAGATAGCGTCATACCGACCGGGGAAGAGCATCCGCTTTCCTCCGTTATGTAAGCTACCCTAGCGCACCCCTCGCCCGGACCGGAGCGCCGGAACAACATTCAAATCCCAGGACTGACGTCACTCCGGTTTACGAGGCTTCGCGGAGGTGACTTATTATTTTGCAAATTTACAGTCAAGTGCTTCTTAGTCTGTTCAGTTGGTGTACGAAAGCGTTAATACTCGAATTAAAGGGAATTCAGAACATAATTTTCGTACTGAATTGCAAATTATATTGTACTAGCGACCAGCCCTCGCTTCGCTTCGGAAACTGTAATTTATTATTGATTTATTCACTATTTAATAGATGTTATTATACATATGAACCTTCCTCTTCAATCACTCTATCTATTAAAAAAACCGCATCAAAATACGTTGCGTAGTTTTAAAGATTTAAGCATACATAGGGACAGACAGATATAGGGACAGAGGAAGCGACTTTGTTTTATACTATGTAGTGATGACAATACTATACACAAATACCATTTGTTTACGTAATGTGAGCATTCATATGTAATAAATAGTTTAACTATATACCAAGTTAATTTCTTCCTTTAAATATACTCTAAAATTAAAACGCTTCGGTAGGCAGCGGCTTGGCTTTGCCCCTGGCATTGCTGAAGTCTATGGGCGACGGTAACCACTCACCATCAGATGGGCCGTATACTCGTCTGCCCACAAGGCAAATAAAAAAAAAAAACTCTTGTACGTACTAATGTTTATAGGGTAATATCATTCATTTTAGTTCTATCTTTCACGGTGATAACGAAGAAATAACTATTCGTTTATGTGCTGTGTGCAATTTGATGATCAGCTCTATAACTATGTAGGACGTCTTAAAAAAATATTGTCTCTGTTCATTTAATTACATATCGACAAAGAGAAACTGAGAAATAAGTTATGAGTTTATCGCTCTGATCGTTTTACGGTGTATGATATATACTAGAGGGCACGCAGTAGTCGAAATTCGACTATAATTAATTAGAATTGTAAGTTTGTACACTATTATGATTGTATTTTATACTTCTACAATCACAAATTTCGCCAAGACTACACTATAAAAAATATTAACAAAGACAAACAATATTTAATCTCAATTTGACAGCAGACGTCAAGAACAAAAGTTTGACAATAAATAGTATGCGTGTGTGCGTCAAATACATGGTATGTAGTGTGTGTAATGTTTTCTTTATCGATTTAATGTATATTTTATGCATTATTTTAAAAAATATTAGCATTGTGCACTTCTTCTCTATATTCTCTATAAGTGTGGAAAATTTCATACTCCTCCGTCCGCGCAATTTTCGTAAAAAGGGATACAAAGTTTTTGCTTCGCGTATTAATATATAGATTGGTACATTTATTTCGCATTTATTGTACACACGGAATGGACCTTAATTATCTATTCCGTGATTGTACATAGTACCTAATACAAATAGATAATTTCTCTTCTAATTCAGCGAAGCAATGCTCTTGCTAGGGCTAGTGTTAGCAAGTTCTTTCAAGGTGAGTCCGTGAGCTCACCTATTCATCTGTGGGTAGATGGAATAACCTCTTTAGTTACTAGCAATTTGGTAGGAGAAAAATAAAGAATTCCTCTATTACAGCGAGTTATAGACATAAACAAAAGCACTTTTACGGTTTAGTCTTGTGCGGTTTAAAGGTGGTTTGAAGTCGTCGTGGCCTAAAGGATAAGACGGCCGGTGCATTTGTGTTGAGCGATACACCGATGCTCGAATTCCGCAGGCGGGTACCAATTCTTCTAATGAATTTTTTTTTTTTTTTTTTTTTTTTTTTTTTNGGCGGCAATGCCTTGCAATTAGGCGCAGGTACAAATTCCGAGAAACACTTGGGCCACAGATGTGCCACGAACAATGATCTATTATCACCGGTAGTCACTTCCGACAAAACACTTGGACGCCAGATGTGCCACGAACCGAGGTCGGGCGATCGAACGAACAATGAGCACGTCCACGCGCGGCGGTTGCTCAAATCGGAATGTCTAATGAAATACGTACTCAATAAATGTTCACGATTGACTTCCACGGTGAAGGAATAACATCGTGTAATAAAAATCAAACCCGCAAAATTATAATTTGCGTAATTACTGGTGGTAGGATCTCTTGTGAGTCCGCGCGGGTAGGTACCACCACCTTGCCTATTTCTGCCGTAAAGCAGTATGCGCTTCGGTTTGAAGGGTAGGGCAGCCGTTGTAAGTATACTTGAGACCTTAGAACTTATATCTTAAGGTGGGTGGCGCATTTACGTCGTAGATATCTATGGGCTCCAGTAACCACTTAACACGAGGTGGTCTGTGAGCTCGTCCACCCACTTAAGCAATAAAAAAAAGTCAGTCGGCTTTATTTTCGAAATTGAGTTTTGTACATAAATCCCGAAAGGAGACCAAAGCCCGAAAAAAGCACGTATTAAATTTTTTTTTTTTAGAGAGTTGATTTGATGTTTGTATATACAGGATAACAGAGTTTTGAATAAAGTTTTAAAACGATAGCTTTCAATGTAAAAAAAAACACGTATAACTGAAGATAATTACGTGAAACATGAAAATTACCCGGGCCGCGGCCCTTCTTACTCGCGACCCTAACGCTTTTTTTGTCGAAATTGCAAACATTACGT